ACATGCTTCGTTAGAAGAATGTAAAGCAGGTCGATAAGCTGGAGGAAATGGGGGAGCAAGTCAGAGGTGTATAATCGCTAATCAGTGTATCTTTTTTATCTGTCACAACTCGTTTATTTTCAATCCGTATGATCCTTTTATTGTATTAAATCATGATTTGATAATGATAATTGGTTATCTGTTTCAGTATATTCTTTCACTGATTGGGGTTTGCATTGGTATTTGGAACAATATGGAATTTTCCTTACCTATGTCAAAACACGGCGGAGGTAAGTAAACCAATTGTTAGTTAAAATTATATTTTTACTAAGCAATTAGTCATATGTATAATTCTTCCGATTGTCATCAATGATTGGTTATCGCTGGTGTGCAGGAACTGCGTTCATATATAATATCGTTAACATATTATTCCGGAAAAAAAAATTTCTTCTTTTAACAAATAATACATTTTCTGTTTGCTAATGCGATTTCCACATACATTTTCGTGGCTGTACAGCATTCTTAGGGCTAGTTATTTTGGGGCGGAAGTGCGTATTATTGTGATACATTAGTACCTTACGGGTTTGCACTTTGCACATGTATAGCCCACACCTTGCTCCAGATAATTGTTCCAATTTGTTCTATGACAGGCGGCTTAACATTTGCATTATTTTGTCGCACCATGTTGGTTTGTAACTTTAATACCTATCTAGCGGATCATTTATTATTTCGCATGTACTTTGTAAACTGTACGTACTTAATATTCAGTTTTCGTGTTCCTTCTTAATATTATATGCATATTACATCCTGTATCCTGATTCCTGTGTAATATATTGTAGTTTTTAAAGTATCAGCTGGTCGGACACACTGCTGCTGCATCCTTTTGCATTTTTTTACTTGTTTTAAAAAGTTAAAAGTAGCTCAAGAGTGCTCTCGGAAGATTGAAAGCACAATCGATTTCACAAGGTTTTAAAATCTATGGAATCCACTCTACAATGAACCGGAAAAAGGATGCATCAGCAGCTAAAAGTAGGAAGCAGTGAACTGAAAAAGGAACAAGAACTGCTAATGAGACGGCTACAATCCACGCTTTAGCCTATACTTCATGTTTGCAGAGTGGGAATGGGTTATCATTATCTACATCGGATTCTGCTACCAAGAATGGCTAAAGAAGACATCGAGCGACCTTTTTCAGCTTACCTGATAAATGTGGCGAGAAAGAAATAAAACAAAACTCTTCCAACTACTAATACGGGTTAGATAGGTTGTAATGTTGGGGAGATGTTGCAAAGGTTCCCAAGCTGTTGCAACAAGTATGTAATGACTATGAGGAACCTGATAGTTTGGATACTTATCCGGTGACACAATAACAAAAGTAGGAGGAAACTACTGGTAGTAGCTTAGATACCGATATGTCAGGTATTTCAGGGGTGTATGTTTGAGGAACTGGTTTGACACTGTTTATTGTTCAGATATGTATAAGTGGTTGGCATCCAAAGGATCATGAATATGGTTGTGTGGTTGGATACATGACACTACGAAAAAGCAAAGCCAGCTCCCTTGTTGCAGACAGGGTACGATTCACAGGGTTAAAGAGAGAGTTGGAGACTAAATGAACATGCTAATATAATCGTCCACTATCCGTGTGTTGGGAAGGGATTGTGACGTCCTAAAAACACAAGGGTGTAGAACGATCCTATCCGGAAAATCCACGCTCAATTCTGACTCCCATAGGTCAGTCTACGCTGGGTTCTTTATCCACACACTCAGAGTAGATGACACAGGAAGCAACTCTCCACTCACGCTTCACTATGGGACAAGGACGTGCTCTGCCTTGATAGCCCAACCTGGGGGTGCTTCTTTGCTTGACACTTTTAGTGCTTGTTATGAAATTATGTTATCAATAAGAACCTGCGAGCATTTTTCATTCATTGTCGGGAAGAGATGGTTTTACTTTGGGTAGGCTTCTGGCTAAATTGAATAACGTTCTGCTAGGGATGATCTAAATTCCTGTTCTGTGTTTATGAAATTTGGTACGGAATTTGATGAAAGTTGGATTATGTGTTTATGAGGATGAACTGTATTAAAAAATTTTATGTTACCCTACTCGATTTACTTTATAAGGAATGCAAATTGGTATTATTTTCTGCCCTAATATTCTTACATGAATTCAACATGAGTCTAGAATCAAATTATTTTTCTTGTTGATCCATCAATCCAAACAGATGTTTATCTAACCCTTTTTTCTGATTTGTCGTGGAGCGAATAAAATATCAATTAACTTGTCGCGACATTTGTCTTTTGAATAACTTTTTTCTATTTTAATTTGATAAAATAGTCGTTATTCATTCGATTGTACTCTAAATTTTTATTGTACGAACAGAATATTTCGATATTTAAAGGTACGATTGTCGATTCATGATACGACAAAAAATTTGCTCTTCTGACATATTTTAAGCTAAAAAACCGGAAAACGGATATATGGTAATTACAATGGTTCTTGCGTGATGGCAGTTCGGCGAATATGTTCATCTGAGGGTCAATAACTTGAATTATTATACTTGAACTTCAATTAACTTAAAAACTCTCCTCCCTCTAAATTTGACCGGTGCGGTCCTGTTCGCGTTCGAGGGGATGGTGATTATTGAGGGTCTCCTCTCTTTTGTCTAGAACTTCACTTCGGTAATCACTTAAAGAGTGTTAGTGGTATATGAGGTGAGTGAACTTCAAATGTGGAAAAATTATTAGTATTAATTATATCTATTAGTGTTCCATATTATTAATGCCCATAAATGCGTTAGTTATTCGTTAATATTTATAAGTCCATAATTGCTTTAGTTTATAATCATAATATTATATTCATTTATTGCTTAGTTTATATTGCTATAGTTTAATAGAAAACTTGAACGGAACTTTCCCTTTGACCTTTGATTTATTTGTTTCTATAATTCTGAATTTTATATCAACAATATGATATTCTATGAACAAAAATTATTAGTAATCGATCTAATGTCGTTGCTTAATATATGTAGTTGAGATTGCCTGAGCGCACCACTTAGATTTCATCCCGGATTCATTAAGTCTGTACGAAAAGGGAACCAATTTTGAAAACTCGAAAATGTGCCTGCTTCCGCTAGAAACCGCCATTTTGAGATATTTTCTTGTGTTTGAAGTCATATCTCAGGTTTGGCGCATAGAAATTCGCCCAAAATCGCACAGAATATCCGTTTCATAGCCATACAACTATCTGGAAAGTTTAAAGAAAATTTATCAGTAGGATCTCGAAATATGTGCCTGCGTTCCGCTAGAAACCGCCATTTTGAGATATTTTCTTGTGTTTGAAGTCATATCTCAGGTTTGGCACATAGAAATTCGCCCAAAATCGCACAGAATATCCGTCTCATAGCCATACAACTATCTGGAAAGTTTAAAGAAAATTTATCAGTAGGATCTCAAGATAATCGACTTTTGTCAAATATTGTTCCGCGGTACAAATGGAACAGAAAGTCCAACTCAGCGTCTCTCCTAATTTCGAGCGGCGTGATTTATGTACGATTTTTAATATGCCATGACTTACCATATCGCATGATAACAATTATCAACATATTCTTCTGAAATTTCCTGTGGTCCATTATCACGTACTTTCGTTATTAGGTGTGGTTTGCTGAAACTTTTGAGAGCACTTTATTCGATCAACTTTATTTAAATGCATTTGTTATCAGTATTTTATGCCACTCGAGTGTTGTTACCTACACGACTTTGTACCTCAGGTTATGGCCTTCTTAAGGATCTTATAACATCAGATGTATTAACAGAAATCCAGGGCCTAGTATTCTACTGGCTTTGCATGATTTTCATCGATCATCCAGTAATAAATCAATTTATGTCTATTCAGGGAGGATTGGGAAGAATTAGAAAGACAGCCGGAAGATATGAAGGAGTCAAGGGAGCGGAGAGAGGAAGATAGGCTGAAAATTATCAAGAGAATATCTGACAAACGCCGACCTGATGACATTCAAGCTGAGCTCGAGAATCTAAAGAGATGGAAGAAAAGAATCGATGGGGATGATAATATAGTGTCGGAACCAGATGGGGATAATAATTTAGAGTTGGGACCAGATTAAAGTTATAATTTAATATTTGAATTACTTGAAAGTTTTTTATTAAATTATTAATCCAATTTTTATTAAAGCGGAACTCTTATCTAAGTCAAGGAAATCGAACTTCTACCTCCTGGTCCCCTTATACAAATGCCGATAACAGATTGACTCGTTACGTTATCTCTGAATTTTTCTTATTGTTTTAAAAATCACGTCAGCCCAGGGTAACTACAGGGAAATCGCACTTCTCGGATTTGAGTTTCACTTGCGACAGGTTAACAGGTGTGTCGCTAATATCATGTACTCATTACGTGTATTGTAACTTTGGAGCAATGACCTTGCGTATATTGCACGTACAGCGTATTATACATATATGCAGCATCATTGCCACAGTGTTGGAAATACTTATATAGTTGGCATACTAGTATAATGTCTGGCATCCTGCTTTTACTATAATATCTTTACCCTCGTGCAACCCTTGACAAATTTCTGTGGTTTTGTTCTAAGCTTGTGTAGTACACTGCTTATAATTATTGTACCTCATCAAAATATTGTAGATCAATGCAGTCTATATGTCTGTATACTTGACAGTTCACTTATTAGTGTATTATAGTAAGTGCAGTAAATGTACAATTGTACAATAGTTGGTTCTATGTATTGCTTGTTTTCTTCTTGCTTTCCCTGGACATCATTCTTCTCCAGTAGTAAATACCATCAAGAACAGATGCTAAAACTCTAAAACTTGATAAATTACCTCTGCTGGTAGTGCTATTTTTAGTTCCCGGAGATGGCCCGGTAAACATTCAACAAATGAATGTTGTCATGACTTCACACTTACACTACTCAAGCAATTAATTAACCTTATCATTTTCCTGTCACTTAACATGTAGATAAGATGCTAACCTCTCTACCTCTCCATCTAGAATGTCATGGAAGTTTAGGAAAGTGAATCCTGATCACTTTGTAGCTGATGTTCCCTCGCATATTCATTCTGACGTACTGGCTCTCGACCTTCGTGTTCGGATTCCTTGTTCCTGCATTCCTGGGAGGTACTCTGACTCTCCGGAGATGGTGAGTGTTTCTCTGTGATTCCCGTTTATTTCAGTTTTAGTAGATTGATAATGTAATTAATTGATGATTAATTGAAAATTTGTGTTTATGTAACCGATCTTAATTTCTCTATCTCTTCATAATTACCTTGTTACTGGTTTAAAACAAGATTTGGCCTCAACCGTTTTTCCACCATACCACTTATCACCACTATCCCGAGACAAATTTTCCGGTATTTTGTAAACAAAGTGAGAGACATTGAATTGCTGTTCAGTCAAGTAGTAATATTTATAAAATGAAAATAATTTTGGAAATCAGTGCAGCTTGTAACAATTGTTAACCAAAAATATTTTGTTCAAAAACTAAAATCACCAGTGTCAAAATATCTGAATCCTATGATTAAAAGCGTCACAAACAATAATATTCCCGGAGCTATCCAGCACAACCCCAGTAGGATACTTCATGTTCCCGAGATGAGATCCCCTCGTCCCAAACCGGGATACAAACCGTCCCTCTCCATCAAATATCTGAACACAATGACTGCTCCGGTCACAAACTATCACGTTCCCCTCCCTGTCCCCTGTCAAACCCGCCGGATTAGTGAGCGACATGTCATTCTCAGAGTCTCTGATTTGTCTCACAAACTCCCCTTGTTTGGTAAAGAACTGGACGTTATTATTCTTGAAATCAGATACTATGATCATGTGATCGGTCACGTGGAGACCCCAGGGGCACAACATCTGACCTTCTTTAGTTCCTTTCTCGCCAAACGAAAAGATAAACTCCCCTCCATCCGAGAACACCTGTATCCTAAAATTAGCACTATCGCTCACATAAACCTTGCCCTGTTCGTCCACCACTACATCGTAAGGGTGAGACAGCTGTCCCTCGTAGAACCCGTGCTCCCCAATGGCTCCTAACGGGCTGCCCTCCGTGCTGAGGATCTGAACTCTATGATTCTTACAGTCCGCTACATACACCTTATCTCCTGCCACACACAGACCGTAGGGGTACGAGAACTGACCCAGTGCGTTACCTTGACAACCGAAACTAGTGAGGCACTGCAGCTCGGGGTACGACCACACTTGTATCCGGTGATTGTCTGAATCTGACACGTAAAGTTTAGTCTCTGCTTTGTTGAGAGCTATAGCTGTGGGGTGGAGTAGCTCCCCAAGTTTGCTCCCCTTAGCACCTCCAAACAGGAGACACTCTCCTACCAGGGCGTAGTCCCTCCTTACTTGACAGGACACTGAGAATGGAGACCCCTGTACGTGTCTGTTGTTTACACCGACTGTTATTCTCAGTTTTCCAGGGTGAAGGGGAGTGAAGGTCAGTTCGTAGGTTCCGTCTCCGCTATCACTTATCTCACATCGGTAGCGCTCACTGTTTGTTTCATTCTTAACGGAGCAGACCACCTCGTCACCTCCCGTAGCGACACAGCTCCCTAACACATCACATGCTACCAGAGTCCAGCATTGTTCTGAACCATTCAGCAAACACCTCGGCGGTTCCTCCGCAAACCTTGACTTCTGCGGGAAAGTGCGTCTGTTCCCCTCCACACGCCCCAGCTGTGCAGTCGCCTCCACAAACACGTCCCCATCCTCAGGGATAAACTTGATGTTGTCACTCTCGGGTGGTGCAGGGTGTCGTCTACTCTCCTCAAGTGTATCTATACGAGACAGGACTGTGCTGTGTGTTGTGATAATGTCCATAGCTGAACCCTGCTCTATGAGCGTCTTGGTAAAACTGCAGGTGTGTTCAGCCGTTCTCAAGTCCTTCTCTATCTCCTGAATCTGCAAGTCTAGAACCTTCTCCTTTGCACGCTGAATACCCTCCACTTCTGCGATCAGCGCTTGTTCCCTCTCTTGTAGCGCACGGATGTACTGTCCGAATGTAGTGTAGATCTGATAAGTCACTTCTTCCGCTCGGGCGTATAGATCCTCCTTTATTTGCAATGTTTTCTCCTTGGTAGCGTGGACCCTCCTCAAACTTATCTTAAGATCATGCGAGCGACTGCGCAGTTCAGTAGCTTTGACAGCGCTAGCCTCGTTGAGGGTGAGATACTCGTGCGCGCGGTGTAGATCTGAAGTGCACGTGTCACAGAGTGGTTTGTCACATGTGAAGCAGAACATGGTCCAGCTGTTGTCATGGTCAGGACAACAGCCTTCAATCTGGTCTAGTTCAGAGAATGAGAGCTCGTTTGATGTGATTTTGTTGTTACTCCGGCACGTAGAGCAGTATACCAACTCTGATTCTACTGTAATAGAGAGATTTTGTACTTTTCGTGTAATTTTATCACGAATTTTGAAACTTGGCAAAAATAGGTTGTTAGCTTAGAGAACAAATGTTCAATTACAGTAAAACCACGATTTACTACGGAAACAGCCGCGGTGTTTGCGATAAATCGGGGTTTTGCGTTATTATGAACCTGTTAAGAACTCTTTCGTTCGTAGTGAACAAGATAGATGAGGATGATTCCTGGAAAAGTAAAAGATAAACATAACTTACGGTCCTGGGTATGTTGGGCGATACACTCGCTACAGTAACTATGTAGACAAGACAACAACCTTACTCTAGATTCCGTACCACACTCTCTACACGATAGCTTGTCCGTCTGTCCGTGTATTTGAGCGTTTCCAACCTCCATCTCTACAACTTATACTAAACAACAAACACTACAGAGTGTACTACGTCTGATTAGAGAAAATCTGGAATGTAGAGTTCAGATCGGTAATTTGAGATTGTGGGAGTCACAATTCTAATTGAATTGAGCTGATGTCAGCGAGCATAAATAATAGCTGTACACGATAAAGACAGGATTAATTGTGTCACACTTATTTAATACGATTCGTCTCTCTGAGTGATAAAATGTCAGCCTGGTGTTGTGGGGTTGTTTAGCATGATGTTACTATTCGACATAAATCGAACATCAAATTGGCAATATATCTAATCTCGAAGTAACGATAATATAACTGAAAGTAAAATTCTCCTGTCTGATAATAACTAAATATTGGTAAATACTGCGGAATGATAACTGACAATAACTACTTCAGGTACATCAAGAATGTTCACCGACTATTTGTTTACTGTGACGATATAATAAATGAAAGAAAGCATCTCCTTGGATTTGATAACGAGGTAACTTCATTGCGACAGTTTTAAAGTATTAAAAACTATTGAAAACTCCTTTTTAAGCTTTGTGCTCTCGAATATATAATATATTATATATCTCCTTTCCACTCGATCAAAGTGTGCTCGATCAAATCTTCTTATCCAAACATTTCAGCTAACGGAGGAAGAAATATCCTCGGAGGAGGAGGAAGAAACTATGAGACGATCCTCCCGTGGGAAAAGGAGACATCTTCCCAGTTATGTGGAAGATGCGAGAAATGGGGAGGAGTCGAACCCGCATTTCGCGTTCTGTGACATTGCCCCTCTATTAATGAACGGGATATCTACTATTAGAGACGATCAGGTTCGTGGAGGACTCTTAGGTGCACTAGATTGGGGGGGGGGGGTCCGTAGCAATTTTTGGCAACTTTCACCTAAATTTACAAAATTTCCGTAATTAAAAGGTTGCCAAAAGTTGCCAAAAATAATTAAATTCGGAAAACAAAATTCTGTTGAAAACAATTGCTAATTGGCTCCTAATTATCACTTCTAAAGCACCTTTAAGTGCCTTAGAAGTGATAAAAAGTGATAAAAAGAGGCGGGGCTCATGTTTTTTGTCCGTTCGGTACCCTATATTTTCAAAACGGACAAAAAATAGAGTGGACAAAAAATAACAAAAATGGAAATAACATTTAGATGCTTCCTCATCCTCCTCCTCCTCTTCCTCCTCCTCATCCTCCTCCTCCTCTTCCTCCTCCTCAGTCCTCCTCCTGGGTCCTCCTCCTGGGTCCTCCTCCTGGGTCCTCCTCCTGGGTCCTCCTCCTGGGTCCTCCTCCTGGGTCCTCCTCCTGGGTCCTCCTCCTGGGTCCTCCTCCTGGGTCCTCCTCCTGGGTCCTCCTCCTCCTTCTCCTCTTCAGTCCTTTACCTCCTCCCCCTCCTCAGTCTTCCTCCTCTCTGTCAGTCCTCCTCCTCAGTCAACCTCCTCAGCCATCCTCCTCAGTCCTCCTCAGTCCTCCTCGTCCTTAGTCATCCTCCTCAGTCCTCCGCCTCCTCCTCCTCCTGGGTCCTCCTCCTGGGTCATCCTGATCCTCCTCAGTCATCCTTCTACTCCTACTCCTCAGTCCTCCTCCTCCTCCTCCTTATCAGTCCTCCTCCTCCTCCTCATCAATCCCCTTCACCAGTCCTCTTTCTCCTCCTCCTTAGTCCTCCTCATTCTCCTCATCCACCTCCTTCCCCTCCTCTCCAGTCATCAGTCATCCTTCTCAATCCTCCTCCGCCTCCCCTCCTCTTCCTCAGTCCCCCTCTTCAGTCCTCCTCCTCAGTTCTCCTCCTCCTTCTCCTCAGTCCTCCTCAGTTTTACTCCTCCTCCTCCCTCTCAGTCATCCTCCTCAGCCATCCCCCTCAGTCCTCCTCAGTCCCCCTCCTCCTCCTCATATTTAGTCATCCTCCTCCTCAGTTCTCCTCAGTCCACCTCCTCAGTCATCCTCCTCAGTCCTCCTCCTGGGTCATCCTGATCCTCCTCAGTCCTCTTCTTCCTGTCCTCCTCAGTCCTCCTCCTTCTCATTCCTCCTCCTCAGTCCTCCTCCTCCTCAGTCATCCTCCTCAGTCCTCCTCCTCCTCCTCCTGGGTCCTCCTCCTGGGTCATCCTGATCCTCCTCAGTCTTCTTCCTCCTCCCCTCCTCAGTCCTCCTCCTACTTTTACTCCTCAGTCCTCCTCCTCCTCAGTCCTCATCCTCCTCATTCCTCCTCCTCCTCCTCCTCATCAGTCCTCCTCCTCCTCATCAATCCTCTTCACCAGTCCTCCTTCTCCTTCTCCTTCATCTTTCTCCTCAGTCCTCCCCGAGTCCTCCTCCTCCTCCTCCTATTCAGTCCTCGGTTCTCCTCAGTTCTCCTCCTTCTCAGTCCTCCTCCTCCTCAGTCTTCCTCGGTATCTAAAATTCTGGGGTAAAGTTAATGGGAAATCACTATTTTTGGCAACTTTTGGCAATTTTTCGCAATTTTTGGCAACCTTTCACATGAATTTTCAAAATTTCCAAAAAAAGGGGTTGCCAAAAATTGCCAAAAATTGCTACGGACACCCCCCTAGATTAGATTAGATAATACGAGCATCTGTTTCACGATAACAGAAATAAATCATTTAATTTGAGGTCACTCCATCACTTTCATCACCACAATAATACATGTTATAGATCTACAAAGTTTAAAACTTGTTAGCTGTCTTATCTTCTTCTAAAACTGTTTCCATCAAATAACAGGTGACAACAAGGTTCTACGCCCAAGAGAACGGACTGTGGAACATGCTAACCAGAACCTCAATACACCCTGTATTTATGAGTCACCGTCTCAATGTTATCTGGTTCCTCAGTCTTATCTGGAGATGGGGCTGGCTCCTACCCATGAGGTTTGTGGAACAACTGTTTTATGTAAATACAGCTACAAGATAAGAAGAAGCATAAAATATTAGACCCTTACAAAATCCATGGTACCATTCAGTTAGATGTAATATAGGTTGTGTTCAATACCATTACCATGATTCTACCAGTGTAACACCCTCTAACACCCTCTCAGGATACTAGTGTTTATGGCAGCGTTAGGGTGGTTGTTGCTTGCTACTCTTATCCTAGTACTACTCCCCCGGAGTCTACCTTGGTACGACAAATGCTACGTAAGTTTTGGAAAACCCCGCATAGAGTTACTGATGGACATTTAGTTTTAAACGAAAAAGTGGTTAACCGATCAGCTGACAGCAGCGAGCAATACATTTCTTTAATCGCTACAGTATCATGTGAAAACTAACCTAAACACTTTTAAAACGTTTTGAACTGTTTAAAATTGAGAATCAAGAAAACTCTTCAAGTCCTGACTTGCTCCCAATTTCAGGAGTGGATGATCTGCCTAGTGTTCAAGTTAGTGACGCACAGCTTCAGTGCAGTTGTTAAGTTCCACAACCCGGAGAACAAAGCCAAGAACGGTGGTATTTGCGTGGCTAACCACACCTCCCCTCTTGATGCTGCAGTATTGAGGTGGGGCTTACTTACTGACCCTTTATCTAACAACCTGACCATGTTGTTTAAAATATAGATCGATCGAATGAGAAAATAGGCTAAAATCGTCTAACACTAATTGATGTCAAGTCCAAAGAAAAGGTCTTGATTGCAAAAGAAATCGGGTTCCAAACAAAAATAAGCTAATAAATATAATGATAAATAATCAACTAAATCATTCCCCAGTTACGATAACTGTTACTCAATGATTGGTCAGCGACACGGAGGTTTCTTAGGGTTTGCCCAGAAAGTTCTGGACCAAACGACAGAGCACATCTGGTTTGAACGGGGTGAGAGCAAAGACAGACAGATGGTTGTAAACCGGCTCACTCAGCATTGTACCACTGGTTAGTCTCAATAAAGTTCTCAATAAAACTGCAATTTTATTTATAACATAAATAAAATTGCAGGGTTACAAAATTGTGGTCATATATTTTTCTTGTATTGTTAAGAAAGGGTTCATTGTGATGCACTTGGTTGGGTAAGCTTGTATATATTCGTATTCCCGGCCCCTTTTAATAACGCAATAGAAACTAATAATATTAAAAACTAACGATATTAAAAACTAACAATATTAAAAACTAACGATATTAAAAACTAACAATATTAAAAACTAACGATAAACAGTGTCTACTACAGGTAAAAACCTCCCAGTTTTGATATTCCCCGAGGGGACGTGTATAAACAACACCAGTGTAATGATGTTCAAGAAGGGTTGTTTCGAGATAGACACCACCATTTACCCTGTAGCTATCAAATATGATACCCTATTTACTGAGGCTTTCTGGAACAGCTCCGAGCAGAGTTTCGTGAAGTGAGTTAATTATCTTACATCTGTTCTCTTTTTATCTCTTCCCTATCTGTTAAACTTAATTCTATCTGTAATACTTTTAATATGTTGTCCTTTTTTTAAGACGTCTCTAATCGCACGGTGTTTAGCTGTTAAGTTGGTGGTTCCTAAACAATTTAATCTTAAGTTGTTCTAATCCTAAAATGAAAGTCCAGCTGAAATCACAATCTCCCCGCCAGGTACCTGTTTATGATGCTAACGAGCTGGGCTCTTGTGTGTGATGTCTACTACCTCCCCCCTACACGTCGCCTCCCTAACGAGAACGCCATTGCCTTTGCTAACAGAGTCAAGTCCCTTATCGCCCGGAAGGGTGGTCTTGTGGATCTCCAGGTGAGCTTACTTTTTCTAGATGGTTCAGTTGTTCTAAGATTATTAAAGGCCCTCTCGGATACAATAAAAATTACAGGTTAACATCATGGCCTAGATCACCCTACAGTATAAGTTTAATTTCTGTTTGTTGGCTTAGGAAATTAAATATCTCCGTCAATACATGCTACAATTGTATTTGTTCGACTGAAATTAATGTTTAATCTATGACAACTTACTCATCAGTGGGACGGAATGATAAAGCGAAAGAAGCTGAGCGAGAGAATCAGACAAACTCTGATGGATCTAGAGCGCCAGCACTTCCTGGAGTCCTCGGCACTCCCCCGGAACATCTCACACGGCAACCTCAGTACCCTGACGTCAGTTTTATAGGACCTCGTCACCCCAGAGTGGGTGTTAGGAATCTTTTTTCGAGTGAGGCTAGCGCGATTGCAGTCACGTGATTGTTGCGTGAGTTATCACGCGTTCGTCTAAGAGATACTTGCGTAAACTTTAATTGTTTATGCTTGAGTCTGAGATGGTAGCGTGAGCGCTCATGTGTGATTATTTCGGTGAAATCTAATTGGAGACTCAGACTTGCAATCAGAGATCTAAGCAACAAGGTGGAATTTGGCCGTGTGACTGGCAAATTTCAAATTAGATATTTCAAATAAGAAAGACAACTTGCTTTTACTTTTAAAGACCACTCTGCGGTCAGAGACGATCGCTGGTGGTTGGAAGTGAATATGATGAAATTGTTCGGAAGTTGTTTGACAATAAACACGCCAAAACCGCGTGATTTATGGGAAACTGATCAAGATTCTATCAAACTGTCGACCGATCATTTTTTACCGGTGAGTACGTCATATTCAGGTAACTCTTGTATCTTTCCTGCGAAAGATTGCAAGACTTTTCTCGTCTTGTAATCTATTAGGTTGTCGATTTCTTTTTGATTTTGGAGGATATTTTGATCCTGTAAAACCGTAAATGTATGTTGGTGGCAATTTTTACTGTGTTTACCTCCTTTAATTCGGACGAAGGTTTCTGTTTTCGGAACGAGATGCTATTTATTTAGAGTTATTTTCTTGAATCAACTCAGTTAAATTGTTAACAAATCCGGATAACTGTTATATAATATACAACATGATGTGTCACGTGATGCATTAAACGCATTGACAAATTTTATACACGAACATTACGTCTGAAATATTTGTGCATCGAATAATGATGATAAATTTGATCATTGTCAAAACCAAAATATGCTCCTTTTTTTCAGACATAATAGCAAATAAGTCGAGGCCAAATTTTTCGGACGTAAGGTATCTTGAGTAAGTGATGTCTGATATTATTAACTAAAACGGTATCAATGTGGGATATTGAGGACTCTGTTTGTCATAATAATTGTATGTAAAATTGAAGTTTTTAGAGCTGTGTGAATATTAATCACATTAGTGATTGAAATTATGGTGTATGCTTATAATTATAGTAATTTGTATTTGAAACATAAATCAATTCGATGTTTGAGCAGAATTAAAGTGTTTTTCTTTTTTTTCTCTGTTGAATCAAATGATTCATGATATTGTGACAATTCAAATAAGAGTTTAAAATATATATTACATAGGCCTAGGGGTCGTTCGCATATTACTTAATCAGCCGAGGGGGGAGGGCGAGTGGCGAGGGGGTTTCCAAATGATTACGGTTGATTACGGGGGGGGGGGGGATGGGGGTTTGGTTGTTGATTTTAACGTAATCAAAACTTTCTTATTTACCCTCTAGAATATCAATAATAACAATTTGACAATATTTTTATTCAATTTCACTCTGGTAGATTACTATAGAGTCATACCAAGGTACTATGTATAGGAGTAGTAGCCTACCCCCTTATCAAATCCGATTCATGCTAAAGTATTAGTAAGCAGTTTGAAAGGTGCTAACAATGATTTCGGCCCGTCATGATCAGTTGGCATCATGATCAGGGTGGCATCATGATCAGGTGGCATCATGATCAGGGTGGCATCATGATCAGGGTGGCATCATGATCAGGGTGGCATCATGATCAGGTGGCATCATGATCAGGGTGGCATCATGATCAGGTGATTACGTAAGTTATTTAATAATTTTATTCACGAGAAATTAAGCATACCAACATCTCTAAGGCAACGTTGACGCCCTACCACTTGAATATTCCGGTGACCGACAACTAGGAACCTCTCATTTCGGCCTCCCACAGGTATCACATCACATGGCCCAATCAGTGACGTATCATTTGTGATGTGATCCATATTATAACCATCCTAACAGCCGGACAACCAAGAACCTGGGTCGGTAGGGTTCACATGACAGTTTAGTAAGTAGCTGTGTATTATGAAGTATATTAAGAAGTGTTTGAGCTCTCGGTATGTGTTCACATCAGCTGTTAGTGTTAAGAATAAGGCCAAGGGGGACATATACAAAAAGCTTTTATGTCCTGTCAGCCTATTCCGATCCATATTATAACCATCCTAACAGCCGGACAACCAAAAACCTGGGTAGGGTTCACAAATATGGCTGAATATGGCTGAATATTCAAAAACTTGAAAAGTTTATAGGTTGAAATGTACACTTGAAATGTAATGAGGTTACATAAAATGTAATTGTTATGTTTCGGTTCCGAATCTTTATTATTTTTATTAAACATAATAAAGATTCGGAACCGAATAAAGATTCGGCGGAATGACAGGCTGAGCGCCGCCCAGTAATGTAATTGAGGTTCTACAAGTACATGTTCTAATGTTATTGATATGTAGAAAACTGGCCAGTTGTTCAATTTGATGACCTGAACTCCCGTTAGAACATTTATTCTATTCCTACTTTATCGGACCTTAAATTATTTAATGGCTTATAGTTAATTGAACGCTGGAAGCCTCTATATCATATATCTTTCATCTTAATGTCCGTTCAAATAAATACCTACACGATAAGTACCCATTAGGTAGTGCGCCATCGACAGTGAGCCGCGCGTGCCGACTGTAGGATGGTTTTTTAGCGCTAATTTCGGCCAGCACAATTTTCTTCAAACAAATAGATATTAAGTATTCTTCCCGACCTCCAATTGCAACAAAAATTGGTAAGCTTACTCATAGACTTACAAGGAAAGTGTCCGAAAAGTTTAAAGCATATCCAACCATCAGACATTATGTTACAGCTAAAAGCAGCGTATTTTGCCCCATTTTGATCACTATATCAACTCCGATATCCACCAAATTTTTCGGACAGTTGTGAAAGCCCTATTGGAAGGTCGCCGCCAATTTTCAGAATGATCTCATTCAAGGAACTGAAGATATATCCAAATAATACGACAAAAATCAACGAATTTGGTCAAATTTGGTCAAATTACGCGACTTTTACAGCTAATTTTGCTCCAAAAGCCGCGCACCATCAAATATGGCACCTAGGCGAAACTCACTGATCTTTCTAAAAAGGTATGACAAATTTGGTATTGTGAAAATTCTCACAGTCTCTAGAAAACAATGGTACAAAAATTTTTAAAATCCGAGCAAGTTTATTTTTATGGTGCACCCCCTATACCCATTTGACGAAGATGACCTGTGATACTGATTGCTGATATGCTCATCAAATCTGGTCATATTTCGTATCTGTGGTTTTTACACTATTTTCATATTCATCTAGACTAGACACTGATATCTACATATTTTATAACATTTTTACTGCTAAACGAGTGCTTTTCTTGCTTACTGTATGAAAATTTGATAACAAGTTAAATTAAAAAATTTGAACAAATTCGGATTGCATGTCTAATGTGGTTCATTATCACTTTATGATTATCTAGTTTTTGAATTACAAAATCGGTCCTTAAACGTCAAGCTGTCGACGCGAGCATTTATATATAACTTGCGTCTTGCATTGAGTGATGTAGATGGTAGATGTGCCACTGCCCTATTTAAACATCAAGTATTATTATTAAATCCAAACAAACTCTCGTAAACATGAACTTAGCAGCACCTTGACACAACCATTCCTCGATATGACTCTGCCGCGATGCAGAACAAGATCGGGACAATATAGACCCGACAGAATGGTCCTCAATGAACTCTATACAATAGAATTTGCAGTCGTACAAGGCACGACTACTCATCATATTAAGTACCGAGGGGAAAGAGTGCCTTCCTCGGTACTGACCGGGACCCAAGGAGGTGCAAAGAGGTCTGGAAACAATTAATGTTAAATGGTGTGTTATTCATGATTCGCTTTTCAGAAGATTTAAACTTCATGTCTAAATCGTAAGTGTACACACATTCGTTGAGGCTGTTAGTTCTTAATTTGGAGATGGCTGTCCATGTCGTGTGGTGTTCCTTTGTAATAGTTGAGTGTAGAGTGATTAATCATCGTCTGGTTAGTTAATAATAAGCGAAATAAATAGCGAATTAAATTTCAGGAGTTACACTTAACATCCCAGCGGGGTTGTGGGCAAGATTCAGTTCACACCGGAAGAAGTAGCAGCCACAAGAAAAGTCAGCATCGCCCACATCCACGTGGAACGCTCCATTGGCTATATATCTGAAGCGGTACAAGATTTTGGGAAACAAATTTGTGGCGAAGATGTTGCCTTATCTGAGCGACATCGCATTCGTGTGTGCCCAACTTGTCAATTTGAAAGCTGTTTTTTTAAGAGAGGTGGACAGTAAATTTGTTAAATGACCGGGTCTACCTAAATTTGTCGAGCTTGCTGAATCACTCCACAATCGATTTTGGGAGCACTCATGGATATATGCATTATTCCTTTGCTTCCAGTTGGTGTAAAATTAAAGCACAGTTCATCATTTGGAATCCCACTGAGTTGATAATCGCGACCACATATTATGTATTACAGCAAACTTAATAATACTAATCTCCGCAGTTCAACCGAGACATACTATAGCTAAACAATGTTAATATTCTGCTCATGATTGGACGGTAAGCACCACAGTCGGTTGGAGAAGAGACCAACACACAATCAAGATCGTTTGCCTATAGTGAACAATTACAATCCCCCCAACAGTTTGCATTGAACGTGGGCAGTGGGCACGGTTACATTATATTTAATGTATACACTATTTCTAGTTCATGACATTATCATGGCGTGTGTACCGCGGTGCAGATAGGAACACCTTGAAATTGCCAAGCTGTGGTAGAGATAACAACGTCTACTCAATCTTCCTGTTTATGATTGGACAGATCAGCGTCACGTGACATAACACCTCTATTACAATTGGTCTGGATCACGCATGGCTGCCCGCGGTACCGTTCAGAATAAATATAATTCAGTTGTTATTTATATTATGATTATTATATTATCATGGTGTTGGTTACCTACACTAGGGGGCCTCTAAGTGGGACATGTCATCACGTCCGAACTGACAATTACTTGTTCAGATTACCTCCAAATTCCGCCTCTCTTTCTCTTGACTTTCATATCTTCCTTTCTAGCCAAGGTTCAGACCTTGCATGAACTTGATAAACGTAGACTGGTTGTGCTCTGTTGTTTTAGTTGTAAGTTTGATTAGAAAAGTTAAAGTTGAAGTCATGGCAGTCGATTATATTATGGTTATTAGCTCTAATCTTACGATCCAACTTAGCTTGAGATAGTTGACTCTTATTCGCGCTAACACACACAACTATACCGGTAGTTCAAAATTTACATAAACATATTATATATAACTATAAATAACTATAAATAGCAGCTACTAGAGTATAAAGCTTGGAAAGAACCTTCGTAGAGAGATAGTGCGAGGCAGCGACACCCACAACCCTGCAGACACCAACACTTTTAACTGTCGTTTATAGAGGACAGTAATATCCACACGTTGCTGCTCGTTTATTGCAGTTCTCTCTCCTTTCAGTGCAGTGTTGAGTAAACTGCCTCTGAGATAATCCGGCTATGCACCTGCGGCGTCATATTATAGTATTATGAAGGAGTCATCTCGCTTTTGCTGGGTAACTGCACGCCCGATTTTACTCCTTCATTATGTGTCGGCAATACGGCGTTTTTTACGCTTTGTTTACGTTTACAGGAGATTGGGGGT